TAGTCCCTGCCCTAGTCCTTTGTGGCAGGTGGCGAAGAAAGACCAACCGCCCCATGCATTCGGAGCAACAACCTGCTCAATAGTTTTCAAAAGCCACGGAGTGACTCAGACCCTCAGAGAAAATTCAAGATTTTTTCCGTGAAATATAAAGAAGTTTCACAAAATCTTGGAAACACAGACACCAAAGTGAAGATTCGATGGATTTTATAGTACGATATATGCAATACTATAGTGTACATACTTTCGTTTTTACTCCAAACGCGTGCCTATTATTATTATTATTATTATTATTATTATTATTATTATTATTAACAACGTAGTCCTTATATTTCTTTCTTTTCAAACATTATATTTCTCTGCAAAGAAAGCAAATGACCAGACGAAAGTCAGATAATTCTACGGAATTCCAGCCCAGACGAAGACATGATAAAGAAAACTTTATTCAAGAAAAAAGCGAAGAAGTGGAGAAACATAATAACAAATGGAGATATTAAGAAATTTTCCAGGTCATCCGGAATATGACCTCGGAGTGTAAACCAACAATGCGGAATGTTAAGAACGAGAACAACAAAATAAATATAACAAAAGAAGAGATCACAAAAAGATGGGAGGAATACACGAAGAAGTTATATAAGGACTTACAAATAGAGTAGTGGATAAATATAGTTGTTTACGAATAAGATCCTGAGATCGAAGAAATGAATTAGGCAACAAAACAACTGAAAAATGGGAAGTTCCCGGCGGTAGATAATATTCCAACCGAACTATTCAAAGATACAGGGTCTGATTGGAGTTTGGTTTTCCCCTTTGTATTTCTCTTAAAGTGTTCTATATATACCTAGAATTTACGATAGCGCCGATAATTAATATTTTTTCAAAATTTGTCACGTAAAGGGGGGGTATTTTGTACTTAATCACTAGACGCTCCATTTTGCTTCTCGTCTGTCTCGGAAACTAATTGTTTGGTTTTCACATTTGGAGTTTGGTTTTCACATTTGTATTTCTCTTCAAGTGTTCTACTTATACCCAGAATTTCAGATGGCAGCGCCGAATTAAACATTTTTCCAAATTTGTCACGTAATGGGGGGGGGTGTTGTACTTGATCACAATACCCTTTATTTTGTTTCTCGTCTATCTCGGAAACTATTGGTTTGATTGGAGTTTGGTTCCCACCTTTGTATTTTCTTTTAGGGGTTCTATAAATACCTAGAATTTTACATAGCAGCGCTGAATTAAAACGTATTCCAAATTTGACACGTAATGGGGGGCTGTTTTATTCTTTATTGCTATACGCACCATTTTGTTTCTCGTATATTTCGGAAACTCTTGGTCTGATTGCAGTTTTGTTTTTACCTTTGTATTGTTTTAAAGTGTTCTATAAATACCTAGAATTTCACAAAGAAGCGCTGAATTAAAATTTTCCCCAAAATTTGTCACGTAAGGGGGGTATGTTGACTTGATCTCAAGACGCTCCATTTTGTTACTCGTCTATCTCGGAAACTTTGTCTAATTGGAGTTTGGTTTTCACATTTGTATTTTTCTACAAGTGTTCTATAAATACCTAGAATTTCACATAGCGGCGCAGAATTAAAATTTCTTTCAAATTTGTCACGTAATGGTGGGTTGTCTTGTACTTGAATAAAATATCCTCTATTTTGTTTCTTGTCTATCTTGGAAACTAAATGTTTGATTGGAGTTTGGTTTCCACTTTTGTATTTTCTTAAAGTGTTGTACTTACACCCAGAATTAAAGATGGCAGCGCCGAAATTAATATTTTTCGAAATTAGTCACGTAATGGGCGGGGAGTTTGGACTTTACATCTAGAAGCTCCATTTTTTTTCTCTTCTATCTCGGAAAATATTTGTCGGAATGAAGTTTGGTGTTCACATTTGTATATATCTTAAAGTGTTCTACTTACTCCCAGAATTTCAGATGGCAGCGCAGAAATTAATATTTTTTTTCAAATTTGTCACGTAATGGGGAGTGTTTTGTACTTGATCAATAGACGCTCTATTATGTTTCTCGTCTATCTCAGAAACTATTGGTTTGATTGGAGTTTGGTTTTCACTTTTGTATTTCTCTTACAGTGTTCTACTTACACCCAGAAATTAAGTTGGCAGCGCCGAAATTAATTTTTTTTTCAAATTAGTCACGCATTGGGGGGGGGTTGTACTTTATCAGTAGGCGTTTCAATACGTTTCTCGTGTATCTCGGAAACTATTGATCTGATTGGAGTTTGGATTTAACTTTTGTATATCTTTTAAAGTGTTGTACTTGCACCTAGAATTTAAGATGGCAGCGTTAACATTAATATTTTTCCAAATTTGTCATGTAATGGGGGGGTATTTTGTACTTAATCACAATACCCTCCTTTTATGTTTCTCGTCTATCTCGCAAACTATTGGTCTGTTTGGAGTTTTGTTTTCACCTTTGTATTTCTCTTAAAGTGTTCTACATACACCCAGAAATTAAGATGGCAGCGGTGAAATTAAAATTTTTTTCAAATTGGTCACGTAATGAGGGGGTGTTTTGTACTTGATCTGTAAATGCTTCATTATGTTTCTCGTCTATCTCGGAAACTATTAGTCTGATTGGAGTTACGTTTTAACTTTTGCATTTCTCTGAAAGTGTTCTACTTACACCCAGAAATATAGCTGAGAGCGCCGAAATTAATATTCTTTTAAATTTGTCACGTAATGGGGGGTGTTTTTTACTTGATCAGTAGACGGTAGGACCGAGTTTTCAAATTTGTACGAATGCAATTATAAACAAATTGCTTACTCTAATTTTTGTATTACAGTATTATAAATTTATAAGAATATCAAACTTAATTTTGCGAAACATATTTCTTGTGACATCTCGCTCATTGGCATTTATGCGAGAAAAGAGTTGTCGGCTGTTCCGATTATCTTTACCTCCCCACTTTTTTCTCGCTGCTATTGTGCGTGTGATGACGCAATCATTAATGCCGTAAAATGCTAATACGTCATTTGCGCCGTAAAATGCCCAATTATGAATGGTGCAACTGGCACAAAATAAATTAAAGACCGCAGAGAACAGATGTGGGGAAAGTTTCTTTTATAAATCGAACGATAAAAGAATGGAATACATTGCCTGCAAAAACCTTTGAACTCTTTCCTCGTAGCGTACAACAGTTTAGGAAATTAATTTAGGGTATTACTAAACAAATGAGGGACTTAGCTGACAATAGCAGGTTATAGAGCGATGCATAAGTAGTATATTGTGAAGTGAGGTGTCGTGCAGTGTAGAACAGAAAAATAATGTAGGAAGTCATTAAAGGGTCATAGTGAAGTGAAGTGAAGTGCAGTTGAACAAACATTCAGTGCGGAGTGTGATTATGAAGTTTCTTTTTTTAAGGGTAATTTTAAATGTTTTATGATTTAGATTTTATATCATTATTTTTTATTATTGTTATTTTTATTATTATTGTACAATTATTATTATTATTATTATAATTTGCATGTTAGCTGTATTATCTTATTTATGTAATTAGCTGCCACCAGGTTATGCCCATTTGCAGTTTAAATAAAATTTTCTTATCGTAACAGAAAATTTCATTTATAATGCTCGTATACAAATGATGTTCACGGAGATGATGCTGTTGATGGCTGTAGATGGCCTTACAAGTTATGTGTTGAATTACTGCAAGTGAATACTGAAGACTTCCCCGCAGCGGCAGACCGCGGTATTCACATTCACCAGGCTGTGTGCAGCGCAATCACAACCTCAATTTGGTTGACAAACGTGTTACCGTGAAAGAATTGTTAATGAATGTGGGTACAGGAGAAACGAATATGTGCTGTAACGTAGTGACATGCCCGCTGCACCTCACAAGTCCTGAGGCCGGAGATAGGGCGGGGTTGGCCATCTGGCGGCAGGCCTGCGGCTACCAAAGACGGAAGGTGTGGGCCGGGGCGTGGTCCCGGAACGTGGGTGTCAAAGCGGGGGGATTTGCAATTAGCCCAAAATTCGTTAATGACATGACGCGGGCCGCCGTGCGACGTCATTTAGGTCGGTCACGTGATTCCTCGAAAAGCGGTTAGAGAAGGAACGGCCGGCAGTCGAGTTTGAACCGAATCGCGGAGGCACTTGTCACCCGCCAGGGGTTATCGCTAGCTTTGTCTGCGAGGTGCGGCTGTTCGCTACGGGACGGGAGGCCAGGAGTGGCGCTAAGGTTAGCCGCTGGAGTCTGTGTCAGGCTGGGGCGGAAATGCCCCAGGGAAGCTCAGTGCTGGGAGTGCAGCGCTAGGCGATTGGCGAATATCAATTTTGGAGAAAATCGGCTGAACGATTTAGCTGCTATCGTTGTTTACAGACGGACCGACAGACGGACGGGCAGACAGACGGACGGACGGACAGACGGACATACAGACGGGCAGACGGACAGAGCCAACATTTTTTCGGTATCAGGGGACCCAAAACGTGTACTTCCGTCGAAATCTCGGAATCGATCTTTCGCAGCATTACATACCTTTTACTATACTACGTATATTACTCCGTATATACATACGTATACGGGAAAGTAAAAGGTCGAGAGACACGCCGTAACATACGACTAACCACATGACGAATCAGACTTTCAAGATGGACAGGCAACACACGAGAATGTGGACTAACTACACAAGACAGAAGGAAAAATACGACTACCGAAAAAACGGAGAGGGGCTCATAAGTCCAGAACACGGTTTAATACTGAAGGACTGCCGAAGTTGATAAGGCCAAGAAGAAACTGAGTGTGTTTTTTTTATTGATTGCGAGCCTCACAATACCTAGGGAAACGGCTACTTAGGCCCCTAAGTGTCTGATAGAGATTTTTCTTACCAGCTCCAGCCTCTCAATTATTATTATTGTTATTATTATTATTATTATTATTATTGTTGTTGTTTTTGTTGTTGGTGTTGTTACTGTATGTTTGTTCATACTCCCGATCGAGAGGTAGTGGAAGTATACAATTGAGTGCGATGATGCATGTGATTTCAAAAACCTATCATGATAAAATCCATTGAAGTGGACAATTAATGTGCACATAGTTGTGTACTTCTCCTTTGTATATGACACATACAATAGACATTGTATAAATGGTTATTGCTGTGACAACTATTTTTTAAACATTTTGAAGAATTTAGTATCTGGCTTTGATAGTTATGAAGTATTTGGGACATATGCAGCAAATAGTTCGGTTTTCATTTTGAAGTAAATATGAAAACATATTAGGAATTAGAAATTGTATGCTATGCTTCGAACAGATCGATTAAGGATTGGGGAAGATGGTTTAATATTGTAGCTTTCTATAAAATTATTATAAGATTTATACCATTATAGATACTACGAGAACGTTTGTAATATGTGAAAATCAACATTTTTTTCAGGTTATTCGGGAAACTGGTTTCCTAGAAGGAATATTCACATCTGAGGAATTAAATCATGAAAATGTTAAAGACAGGGAGAGTAAAATAACATTTCTCCAGAAGGCGATTGATGCTGTCAGTAAGTATTCTATATTTCTAACAAATAAATGACTGTGGACGGAAAGAAATATTGGGAGAATTGAATAATTCTCATAGTCAGCAACATTTGTACTGTATACAAACAGTATGTATACTTTGTAAAAGAATTTTTGAATTGTATGCACTATTTGACTGTATTGTTATTGTTTAATTTTAGAAAGTTCAGAATTAGAAGTGTACTGACAAATGTGGCTCATCCTATGCCCAGTGAAGGAAGTCATTGGACGGGTTTCTAAAACAGTCTGAGCCATAATTTTGAAACTACGGCTTTAAAGCTAGAGCCGTGACGTGAATACGATTGATAAAATGTTGATCCAACGAAGTCTGGTGAGACCGTAGTCTCAAGCCGTGGCTTGGATAGTACTTTTGATACATCCCAGTCGATAACTTATTTTTTCCCATCAAAGTGCAGTTAAAACATTTTTTTAAAGGTTGTGATGTGTAATTTTTGAAAAACAAAAGGATCCATTGATCAAAATTGGTCAGGAGATTAGATTGGTCAATAGAATTGACCAAACTATTAACCAAAATTGGTCTGCCTAATGCATTAAGCTCTAAGAGTTTTTTTTAATTACAACCGGTTGTGAGAAAACAATGTTAACGTATCATTTTCCAAATTTGTCCCTAATTTTCTCAAAATTACGCAAGACCGCAATTACCGACATTATGAACAATATTCATGGCGTGAAACATATTCATGCCATTCATTGGCCAATTAGGTTGTTAAGAACATATTTCGTTGAGAAATAAATCTCCATCTTCAAGAATGTGGTTAAAACGGGGATCCATTTTTTTCACTTTTGCAATTTTTGCAAATACAGAGGCTCAATCCAACTGCAATGAAACTCGAACCGGAGCCATTTTTATAAGCGTATTTCGCGACATTGTAGAAACATTAAAATTCGTACGTCGTTTCATGCCTGCTAAATAAATTACTTTTTACTTTTACTGCACTATTTACGAAAATGAGTTATGTTCGCTTTAAGTAACCAGAAACTACAATGAATCGCAATTTTCTGCCTTAATGCACCTAATGCATTATGCATCACTCATATATTAAGGTGCACCGTAATCATACCGTATTTTTAAGAAATATAACGGTGTATTAACATGCGCATTACATAAAAAAATATTAGAAGTTTTCATGTAATTTTCACCTAATTTTGGAGGTTGCTCAGATTTTAAAGAAATCCCTGTTCTGGTCTTCTTGAAAAAAGAATCTTCAACAAACTAAAGATTAAGAGAATATTTTTTTTCCGTTCGTACCAAGGTTCATTGTTCATGTCCTTGAAAAAGTATTACTTAAAAATAGGCCACAGTATGCTAATGCCAATACTTTTGCTCTTCACTTCGATAAGAGCACTTATTAGAAACCCCTGATAATAAAGACCGCGTAAAATGTAACAGCGTGCTGTGGCCGGATGCCAGGACTGCAGCGTCCTACGAAAGCTTTCCTGTCTGCGGGGCTTCCATAAGCCGTAGGGTCACTGAGAGCGACGTCAGCTGGGTGCATCGCGCCAAAGAGTGGGGCACTCAGAGGCTCAGCGGCCTCTCACGCAGTGTTACCATGCTCGCTATTTACGTGGAGGCAGGTGAAACACATGCCATCCGCATCCTTGGCACTATTTCTTTAATAAAAATAACATTGCAGACAAAAATTGACTAGCGTAAAATAGTTCTATAACAGTAGAGCAGTTCAGCATTCTAAGCTTTTTGGTAAAGCTCGGTAGGTTGTGATCTAGACTCCTCCCTTGCCTACCCTGAAAAATCGTCGTGGTACTTACGTGGTTGTCGACAGTAGTAGTGTTCTCCAGGTAATACTATTCGGTGTTTTTGATAATTGGGAGTGGATAGTTTTGCTACTCAGTCTGCCATCCAGACGCACTTGAATGTCGAGTTTACTTATGCAAATCGGACGGATGTTAAAGGCTGCAACAAATAATTGTTAATATTCTTTCTAAAGAGCATGTGCGTATTGGGATAACTTACAAAAAGAATTAACATGCAATTCAAATGGGTCATTGATATTAATTTATCAAGATCTGATTTACGGTGATATGATCTAATTAAAATAAGTGTGATTGAAAGACGCAGAGGACTTCCCATGCAATACGCCAATTGTGAAGTACTCGGAATTTGGTGTTTTCATGGTGTTTTTTACTGGGAATTTGGCGTTTTTATTGTGTAATAATTATTTCGTCCTGTTTTGTTTCAGAATCAATAACTGGAATACAATTAACTGCTCGGCCATCGAAAATAGTAGCTGGCCATGAGCCTGCTAAAACCAATGAATTTTTGCAAGCTATAGGAAAAGCTCTAGAGAAGAAGGTAATTACCATTAATGTTTTTTGTTTTCCAATTACATTTCTACAGTCTGAATCTATGATATTTCTCTCATTAATAGAGATGCTACAATTTTGCTCCGGAAATGTGGATGGGAGAATTTGGAGAATTTTATCTACTATATAATTCTACTTTTGAGGAAATGATTTGCTTCCTTTGAGTATAAAGTGTTATAATGAAGACAAATAGAGTAAATTTCATTCATATTTTTCGTATTCGTTGTATGAATTATTTGATATCTACTATCGCTCTGTATTCAACTCTTTTTATAATTTTATCTCCTTCGTTGTATTGTATCCTTTCTTTCTTTACTATTTCCTTCATTTCCGTTTTTCTTTTGTTAACTTTTGCTTGTTTCTGCTGTTTTCCCTTGTGAAAATGTATGATAATCCGCGCAAGTTTACTTAAGCTTTCATTTCGCTCAATGCGAGAGCTGTTACTAATATCAGATCTTTAGGTCGTCTGAAGATGTAAATTGTTTCTAAGACACAGGAGCGAAAATTTCGTGAAATGAAATGTCAAAAAGTATTTTATTTATTATTTAACCACACTAGTAAAGAAGCATGCATAGATATTTCGCAGTTCAAGAAAATGTGCGAGTGTAGTTACATGTAGCCGAAGATTCAAAAATTGCATTTTCACTACAGAAAGTTGTTTGATGTTTTATTAGTGATAGTTCAAATTAAGTTATTGGCCTCAAAATAATTAAAGGCATAAATAATTTTCTACATGTCTGATGATTATGTTTATGTTATTCAGTTAGTCCTCAAGTTCAAATTCTGAGGTGAATACCATAGGTTAAGTAAACTTAGTAGCTTGTCAATAATTTAGACATTCATAATTTTTTTAAGATTACACATGTCGAGAATTTAATATGATTAGGGAATGGATCGTGCCTTCTTTTTCATTGTTTACCTTCTATTCGCGCAATTGAAACCTATGTGCATTGCCACTCCTGCACGCCCAATCGGAGAACCTTTGATATGGAAAGACTTTTTCAACTGTGAAATTGCCACAGTTGATTTAAAAATTGCGCGAAAATTAGCTAGATTCGTACATTAGCTGTAACATATTTACTTCTGATCAAGTAGCTAAACGGATCAAAATATGCTGTGGGGTTTTAGTAAATGTTCGAGGAAATCAGTGCTATCAAATCTTTGATTGAGAATTACAAAAAAACGAATGCATTTACCTTCATGTTTCTCCGTTTGCTTTTCTGAGTCCTGCTGTTTTTTTTATTTTTCCTTTTTTCGTAATGACTTATTTGCTTCAGTTGTTAATACTGTTTTACAATAAGCCAACCTTTTAGATTTTCACTTTTTGACAGCTTGACAGTAGTGATTATGCAGCAAAGCCTTCTAAGCCAGAAAAAACAGGAAAAACTAAATCAACACACAAAGAGGTAAATTGTCAACCCATCAATGAGCCTAAGATATTTTATGACTTTCTGCATGTTGAACAACAATTGTGTTATTATGTTACAATTATATTATATTACAATGTTATTATGTAAAGTTGCATTACTAATATTATTTTGTATGTTAAATTTTTAATAATATTTCAGGAAGGAACTAAAATAAAATCAAAAACTAGTAATCCAGTTAAATCTCATGCAAGAGACAAAAGTAAAAGTAAAGATTCAACCAAGAAGAAATCCTCTGGAACACCAAACGAAAAAAATGCAAAATCTCCTAAGGAAACTCAACAGCAAGAAACCAAAAAATCTGAGTATGTAGTGCAATTGCTTAGACATGGATCGAACTGTGTACCTGCAAAGTTCGTTTGAACTAAATAAATGCAATGGAGGTTATTGTGGGCAAAAATTCACTTACATCCCGAAGTTCATCAAAAGGGATTTCTTCTTCAATCCAAAAATACAAAGTGCATTAAATTGAGGCTAGACAAAATACAGTGAACCGGGAGGAACACCAGTATCAAGCCAAATCGCTGCACCACCAAACAGGAATTCGAATACAAGTCAAAGTTACAAAAATCTGAGACCAAAATTCGCAGCAGAGGTCGCCTTAGCACTGGTAATTCGTTGGTGTTCACTCGGCCTTCACCGGCGCCTCTTAGCCACTAGATTCCATAGTTATATATTATCTGTATATAGTATTAGTAATGCATAGATCGCATGCGACCCTTTGCGATCCCCCTTAGAGGATATTCAATGCAGTTCCGGATGCCAGCCTCTTTTTCGACCCAAGCTGCCTTGGAAGCGTACCTCCGATGCACGTCTGGGGACCTTTCGAGCAGGCGCGCGCTTCGCGGGCGGTCCCCTGATACGCCTGGGGTGTGACTCACTTTCTCCGCTAAATGTCTGTCTCAGCTATATCCAAGCTATCTATTTGGTAAAAAGTTAGATCTCGTTAGGGCGGGATATTGTCGGAGGGATATGTATATAGGCACTCTTTACTACCCATTAGAGTCCCTAGATTCATCAATGCCATCTGTGCGCGCTGGTTGGAATCACCGGCCTCGCCTGTAGCGCCTGTCACCTTCGCAGCGGGCCTTTCAGATTTCGTGGTTGACCACGACAGGGATTTTGATTTGGAGTATTAATATTGTTCTTGAAATTCGGTTATTTGTGTGAAATCTTATCCCTCTAAAACACGATATATTTTACTTAATGTGAAGAATGATTCTTGTAGAACAAAATATAAGAAGATATTTACTTCATTAATTGAGTTTCTGTAGAAATGAGTCAGAGCATTGAGGGGCCCTCACGCCATTAACATGTAAACTGTTTGAGTACATTTACAAAGAACAAAATCAGTTCAAGAGATGAATTGTGTGAGGCAACTGATTAATTCTGTCCATACATTGTTTGGTGTTGACACACTCTTTACTTGTTCATACATTTACACAACACAGTCTGCTGACTGTCAGGACATTACATACTCTACACTGGTATCAGTTATACAAAACGAAACCCAATCTTCAGAACTTTAATCTGTACTTATAAGAATGTTAATACCTCAAATTACTTAAGAGTTTTCTTATTTGGGGCATTGAGTTCTAAAACTTGTTATTTACACTACAGGGTTGAGTTACCTGCAGCAAAAGAAGCTCCAAATAATAAGTCAAATAATATTGAAGATGAACATAAAGTTAGTTCATCTCCTCATCCACCAGCATTATCAACAAATGATCAAGAGCCTGTTCCGTCAATAAGTATTCCAAGTTCACCAAAGGTGTTGCAGTCACATTCAAAACTATTAGATGAAAAAGATCAAAAGAATGAAATTCAAGAAGATACTGCAGTAAATCAAGTGGTGAGTATTTTTAATGTGCAGTGTTCATTCCTGATCATGTATTGTTAGTATCTCATGTAGAGAGATTAATTTTTGAATTTAATTTGTGGTCTTTAACAGTATAGTCGGGGTGGGAAGTATGAAATATTTGGGCATCAGCACACCTGAATTTATCCTATGTTTTATGTACAAGCAATCTTTTTTGATATGCAGTAGTAAAGTATAAATATTTTTTTCGCAGGTGTCTGCTTCTCCAAAGAAAATTTCCCCTCATGAGCAACAATCTGCTTCGCCAAAGAAAGCTTCTCCTCATGAAAGGAAAAAGAAATCTGCAAGTATGTACATAAAACTACTATTTCAATAAATAAACATACTGTGAATTTTCTAGTTTGTATTAGTGTTCGAATTTTCACTAATCTGATATATTTCATTTATCTAATTTCTTTGTTTGAGTTTGACTCAAGCAATTGAGAACAAAATTGCTTGTTTTCTTCATTTAGTGTATACGAAATAACACATTTTTGTTACTCATGACTTTATATTAAAATAATTTTGAATATGAAATGAAGCAAGTCTCTTTCCATAAGAAATCTTTCCATTCTTATTCTGAATTCCATTGCTATGTGCAGATTTTATGTTCTTCTAGTGGGGAATTTTGTTAATAAAAATAACTGAATCATTTTTGTTGACATGGTCTCCAATACTAGGACTTCTGCCATTTACTTTTACCCTTTGTGCAAGAATTATGTTTTTCTTAATCAAGAACATATATAGTATAAAACAATTTTCTGAACATATTGCAACAGTTTTTCTAACTTTGTCTACATTAATTTTATTAATATGAACAATTAGATATTAGTAGTACATTTCTTCCTTTGTTTTCAAATATTACACTTCCAACAAACATTAAAGAAGGTTCTATATTGATCTTAATGATTCAGAAAATCACAGTAAATTGTCACACAATGTATTTCAAAATCGTGTATTATAAATTATTTTCTCTCATAAAATGAAAGTTGGAGGGTTTTCTTTCAATATTGTACATCATTGGATTCTTTCCTGATGATGTCCCATGTGTTAAAAAATAGTTTATGCTTTGTGTGATATCCATGAGGAATTCTGGAATTTTTTTTTATTCCTATGCAAAATTGTAGATAACCAACTTTTCAAAATAAAATATATTTGCATTATATATTTTAGCAATAGAATATTTCACCAAATACGTTATTCAAAATATGGTAAAATGTAATAGCAAACGTTGATTTTCTGTACAGTAGAACCCCGGTATTTCGAACTAATGGGAGTGTCGCTTGTTCGGATTCGGAAATGTTCGGATTATCTGGGAAATGTACCGTTCATATACAAATACATCTATAGTATTACCAGACACAATGTAACGTAGCGTGCGATGTCAGAAAATGACAACGTAGCGTAGCTACATACGAAAGTGGCACTGTTATAAACAACGGAGTACAGTACGTACATAACCGATCGCATGCGGTGGTAGTTGCTACTTTATTTAGAATTGTTGAAGCCCAGTTTGTGAGGCCACTGTTAAAGGGTATTCTACGTAAAGTATTCAGAATTGATTCGATTTACGCTGTGTTCCTTCTTTTTTCGTTCATAAATTAAGTTGTTACAAACCAGTTTTTGTTTATTTTTTCCTTCATCCCGAATGTTTTTCGGATTATCAGAAATTTCGTATTTGTGAGTTTCGAATTAGCAGGGCTCTACTGTATTATTTTTAACAATAAAGAGATGTGTAACAATATTTTATATAGTTAATAATTGTTGGTGTTGATTTTCAATTGCATTTCTAGTTGTTCTTTAAAAACTGTATTGCAAATTTTAATTTATAATTTTTCAAGCATTATGTATTAATGAAATTTTACCTTCTGTTAAATGTAGAAGTTAATGATACCCAATTAGACGTGTCAAGAGATGCAAATGCTACAGATGCTGACAGGAAAGAAGCTGCTACACCAGTAGAAATTGGCGTGTTTGGTAGCAAGACTATAGGCAGGTATGCCAGAAGAAATTGCCTTTTCTGTGAAATTTTTTACTCGTAAAAAAAAATGAATATGGCCTTTTTTAAAGAGCTGATTTTTTTGCAACATACTTTTTTAACGGCAAAAATATCTATTTTCAATTCTGTAGTTTTGAAATGTAAACTTGATGGAGTTTTTGAAAACAGAGAGTTCGCCGAAAACGGAACTAGCACCGTCGTTCGAACTAGCATATTTTTACTGTCCCTTGATACATATTGTGACGTCGTGACGTGAGTGAAATATAGACATGGTTTTTTTTGTACAGATTTCTTTACATTGACTATATAATAATTACACTCCTATGAAAACTACCGCTGCACTCCCCAGCACTGTAAATCCCTGGACAAGCCACCCCAGCCTGACACAGAGTACTCCAGCGCGCTAAATCCTAGGGCTACCCCTGGCCTCTCGCTCGTGGTGAAAGTCACACTTGGCAAGACACCCCGGCCCGCACCCTCCGACAGGCCCCGGAGCTTTGGTGGCCGCCAGCCTGCCATAGAAGACCACCCCTTCCCCCTCGCCGGCTTCATGACTTTATGGTCCGAAGGCAAAATGCTACGTTACAATATGACAAATTAAAATCTCGGTTGACTGAAAATTTCCCGATAACATGCTTTCGTTAGAAGCTACCATTCGTCGTAATTTTCGAGCGCCCTTCGCGCTTATCATACCCCGCGCCCCCCCACACACAGAGCTTGCGCTTGTACATCCCTTTCTCGATTTGGAGGGGAAATGGGCACTACGTCCAAAGAAACTGGCGCGAGATTCAAAAGTTAAGGGTTGAATAAAATGCTCCGAGTGGCAGTACATTTGGTCAAAGACAGACTTTTGGAGAAGTTAGTTGACAGTTGTCTCAAATGTAGATATATTAATTCCCATTTTCTCTACTAAAAGAAAAACAATCGATCAATTAAAATGTAATGATTCATCAGTCAGATTTCAAATTGTCAATTAATGAATTTTCTCGCAGCATTACATTACTTTCTCTCTACTGCGTAAGTGGTAGCAAGAAAATAAAAAGTGTCTTACGTTCAAGAATGATTCAATATGACTGATAACGTTATTAAAGGAGAATTATTTTGCCAAATAAGGCTTGGAAACAAATAGTATCAGAATCGTAAAGAATCAAATCGTAAATAGTAAAGATACTTATTATCATGTTATCATTTATATGGCTTCTTTTTCTACACCTTGTATGTTTACAAATCTGCATCTCTAACATGCCAAAACGCCATTTATTATTATTATTATTTTATTATTATTAATATATTATTATATTATTATTATTTATTATTAATTAATTATTATTATTATTTATTATTGTTATTATTATTATTAATTGTCGTTTGTTGTTGTTTGTTAAGAAAACTTTTCATTTTAGTGATATACCCGAAACTCAAGTGCTCAGAGAATTACATCTGCTCGCCCAAGAACAGCTCGTCCGGCCAGCGCTCGCCCTGCTGCTCCAAGAATACGTGATCGCGGAGAAGTGATTATTCCAGAAGAACCGAGGTATTGCAAATCGTATTTCTTTTATTTTGACAACATTAACATTCGGCCAGCTAGCTCATTTCGGCTGTTCGTAGAACATTTATATTTATCAACAAAAATATTTCATACTCATGAAACGTTTTGTTGGCGGTCGGTTGGAAATTCGTTATACTTCTATGCAATATTACAAAGTATATCACACGAACAACAATAAAATAAAACAATATTAAACAAAATATTACACAAAAAACTAGTATTTCGATAAAGAAAGTCATGCATGATGTCTAAGAATTTGTGAAATGGCCTTCTTTAAAATGTATATCAAAATTTATTTACGTACAATACTTGGCCTTCATACACAATTCGACTGCTTTTTTATTTGTGTTAATTTTTCTTTGTGAACAAATGTATTAATTTCTTTCGTAAATAATACACAATTTACATGTTCTGGAATGTTTATATGTTCCTGCATTGCAACATTTTTGCATAGAAAGTATTGGTATTGTGGTAATGACGACTAATATAATTATTGCATAGAAAGTAGTTTTTGAAACCAACTTTTGAGTGCTTATTGCGGCTCATATATTCCGAATGTCCAAGAGCATTATTAGACAAAATATGCGAAAAATTATCTTGAGAGCTTATTTTCGAGTTTTCAACGTTTCCTCTCCGGACAGTCTGATTCTAAGGATGGATGAATGTTTCACGCAGAATTCTGTTAGTTTAGAAGCTTTTGTGCTGAGCCGTGGTAAATACATTAGGAATAAGATCTAGTTACGCTGTTTCGTGCTGTCGATGTGTATTTATCAGTTTCGTAAAACGTATTTTTTTCGATGTGATGAAAAAATTGGAAACCCAGCAGGCCATGTGCATACGGAACGGAGGTCATGTGGAACAGTGTATGTTGAAAAGGGAGTTTTTACCAAAAAATCCATGTTTAGGAACATCTGTACTTTATTCTGCAAAAGCGGTAAAAAGGAGGACTGAAAGGGATCAAGCAGAGCACCAAAAAATTTATTTTGCGTGAATCTTGTGAATCACACCCCATAGAGGAACGAGGGGAGCCTCGGGGAGAGATTACTAGGTCTGCACTTTATGTTCGAAAACACTGAAAATCAGAGAACAAATAGAGAACATTTATTCCTTTTATAGTTAACGCACGATATATAAAAAAAATGAATTTTACAAATTTATTTGACATAGGACTTGTAACCATAACATGTTAATAACAAAAATGTAGGTCTTCGTTTTTTTCAGACAATTCTGTACAAATTCGAAAGACGGTTTATTGTATTTAGTTACAAAAAAAATCACGTACCTGTTTCAGTATTGGGGCTCTGTCCTTTGATATTGTACTACAAGTAACTCTTTTTCATTTCTTTTAAAATAATATGTAGACAAAATATGACCGTACACATAAAGACATAATTGTACTATCGATTAGTTTGAGCTATAACAATGCCTCTGCGCCTTATGCAGACTCGCTAAGCAGCGTTTGTTGGCAAGAGGCCGATTCCCTCGGAGCGCCGTAATCTCGCTTTCTCATCAAAATAAACAGGACTGTGAGGAAGATCTTATCTGCTCTCCCCGATGCGCGTGGTCTCAAAAGGTGATTGACTCGTAAATGGGTGGTATTTCTATAGATTTTTAAAATTAATGTGACGATTTGTAGACTTTTGCCATTGTAAACTAGCTAACAAGACCCATCAAGGTTTCACAAATAAGAAAATCGCCCCCTATTCGGCTAAGAAAGGAATCCGCAAGCTCTTCGGCTACGAGGCTGTGAGGGTGGGGCGGGGGGCGGGAGGGAGAGGCGCGAAAGGATTTCGTCCTCTCGTTGAGGACGATCTTATAGGTCTAACGTGACGTAATTAATATACTATTTTAATAATCTTGTCCAAAATTAATCATTATATATCATAAAATAACATAATAATGTTAATTATTTGAATGCTTGTAATTACTGAATTTCTTTAATTTTCTTTTTATACTTCATGTCGTGACGCTCAACCATATTTCTATTCAATTTTTTAACATTAATTTGTAAATTATATGATGGATACTATTGTTTGATTAATTTTAATATTTTATAAGATACTTACGTCAGTATAATTTTACATTGTTCATTAGTACAAAGATAATATTTATTATAGATATTATTGGATCAAGTTGGCGACATTAATTTCGGAACTAATATTTATAAACATAAATTTACAATGTCTTTTTGATGGGTGGGAAATTTGTAGGATGGCATATGCATTTTTCCAAAAACAAATGCTTTGTGGAAATGATCCCTTTAAATTTTATTTATTTCTTGATAATTTCTTTCGTTTCAATTGTTCCCACCGGAAGTTGCCGACCTGCGCACGTTCATCATTGCTTAGGGCTCTCTCTACGGCTACGTCATGAAATACTATAAATGGATTACGTTAAAAACTATCATTTAAAAGAACAATACCGTTAGTTTTGAAAACAAATATTACTTGTATTATGAAATAATTATAAACAAAACTAATCGAATGTCGTCAACAAGCCGTTTGTACCATTACTATACGTGATATGATATTGAGGTTGTCTTCGCCTTTCATATTCATGCTTTATATTGTTTATTATATACATTTTCAGACAAGCAGTTGGCAAAGTAAACGTTATTACTGACAGTGAGTCAGTTAAAGAACAAGATGAATTTGAAAATTTTGTTGTTGAAGAAACACCATTAATAGCATCTCTTGACCAAGTAAGTTAAAAAAATGAAATCTTAATTTGTTTTCTACAAAGAGAAGAAATTAAGCTGTTACTAAACATTAATTTCAGGATACTCCTACCGCCCCTGCTATCCCGACGTCTGGAGATCAAGGGCAGCATGGTCATTTAGTGGCACAGATATTGGAAACACAGAAAGAATTAGAAGATGATAGCCAGTTTTCATTTGGAGATAAGGATAAACATACGAAGAGAGTTGAAATTGTAAGTATGGAAATTTAGGAGGTAATACCATCTAACCTTCCAGGTGAAAAGTAAGATTTATTTTCAGACAACAGTTAAGAATGTTTACTTTTTCGCCTATTACTTAAGTAGCACCGTAAAGAGAAAGTATTGTAATGAAGTGATAAAAGACCTAACATCGAAATATTCCATAATTACTGATTCAAAATGTAGTGAATAACTTTCTCTAACACGTGTAGTCAGAATCAATGTTTTGTGAGTTCTTGTTACTGAAAAATCGATTTAAGGCGAAATGCCCTTCGTCCAGTCCG